TACAAATTATCTTAAACAGGAGTATAAAAATAGTTTACATTTGTACCAACATATAAGAATCTATAACAGTACAAATTACAGTGCAAATTATCTAACATTGCTATTTTACTAAATTTGTTTACTAGTATATACAATGATTTACCATCATATCTTATACCTATCCGTTCCATTTCTTCTCCCCCCCTTTTTTTTTTACAATACTGAGTCCAATATTTTCTTCCACCCCCAACCCTATAACCGTCATCCATAACCCTGAGAATTATGAAACCTAAGGGAGAAGGGGCGTCGTTTTCTTAGAATTGCTTCCTGTCGTTTAGGGGGTGATGTTATCTCTGTTGGGTACTGTGAGAAAGCTCAGATAGTTAAATCTCAGTTAGACTAACTGTAGGTTCTGCAGCAAGTTTTAGAGTAACTAAAGAGTTGTTGCTGTTGGGGACCCATCTTCCTTCTGGAGACTTCTGACACTACTATTGGAAAAACTTATTTGTTATCAAAAATGGGAGGTTTGGATTTAAAGAGGACATAGCATGTAAAAAAGGATTCTGAGAAATCAAGAGTAAGCATGGAGAGAATTAGAATTTAGAAGACAATGGTCCCTTTTTATTGGTTTCCTTCTGTCTCACACCAGAGGGTTCTTCTAATACGGGACTGAAGAATCTCTCAAACTTTTCTTTTAGCAATATGCTTGGGTTTAGAGAAGGAGTGAGCCAATTCCATCTCCAAAGCCAGCTTGGCTTATAATTGAATTGGAACCACAACTTTTCTAGATGGCGTAATTCACAAATTAAGTAATAGGTAGGTCCCAGGGTCTGGGGAAGGTGTATCACAGTCCAGCGGTGTTCTCCGGAGCTCTGCTCAGTCAACCTTCACTGTTCAGCATCCCAGCACAGAGAGAGCGTACAGAGAGAGCGCTGGCCCATCCAGCTCTCGGGTCTCCAGGTGCCTCCCCTCGCCCCGCCTCGTAGGCGTGACAGTTGCCAGAGTCTCAGTGGGGGTTAGAACTTCCAGATCCAAGCTGGAATGGCTACCCACTACAGACAGGGACCTTTTTAGGACCAAAGGTCTGGTAAAAATCATTTAAACAGTCACCAACCCATCTCCAGCGTTTTTCATCTATGATTCCTTCTTGGGGAAACCAAGGACAGACATCTCCAATATAGTCAAGAAATTTTTTTAAGTCTTTCTTTTTAACCCTAATTCCTTGTGTCTTGAGAGACTGTTTCAGTCCAGAAATAAACAAATCCTGTTTATTAAATGCTTGTCCCATGGTAAACTTACCTTGCGTTGTCACGTTAAAACTTCTCCAGATCTGACTCACAGCCAGGTGTTTAAGTGGCGATCAATGACCGGACCTTCCCTCGTGGAGCCGTCTTCAGATCTGACTCATGGCCGCCGGGCTCGTGGAGCGGTCTTCAGATCTGACTTACGGCCAGGCGTTTCTGTGGCGATCACTGCTGGGACCTTTGCTTGTAGAGCCATCTTCAGATCTGACTCACGGCCGGGGGTTTCCGTGGCGATCACTGACCGGACCTTCGCTCGTGGAGCCGTCTTCCACGATGGTCCAACTCTTAGGCAGGCCTGCCTTGGTCTGTGATGACATTCATCACTGTTCCACATCCCAGAGCCCCACATTGGGCGCCAGTTTTCCCGGCCAGCGGGATCTTCAGTAGAGACCCTAAAAGGCGGAATGGCGAATGAAGGGACAAGAGACACAAAGAATTGACAGCAAGACAGTATTCTGATCAAGCTGCAAAATTTTATTTTCTCAGGTGGGTTTTATAGTAAGCAGACCAGGAAACTTTCTTTGGGAAAAGATCGGGGACTGTTGAGTTGCCAAGCAACCCAACCAAGCAACCTAACCACAAAACATTGTTACTAATGGTCACTGTAGCAGAAAGATAAGGAAATGTTAAGTTATTTTCTGATAACTCAAAATTTGTCCAGGCATGTCAAAAGTTTCTGGTTAATGGCTCAATACTAGACAACAAAAACTTAACTCAGGCAATATGACATGACTCTTGAAATTGTCCTCAGCAGGAGTGCCTCTAGGGCTTCCTTTCTTTGGAGAAGTTGCACTGCTAGTGACCAGCAAGTTTGAGAATTTAGCACCTGGAGATCTGAGAGGACTTGATTCAGAGTGGTTTCATCTCCACTCTCTAATTATGTACATCATTAGCAAACTGAATCATTGTCGCCAGGAGTTTTAAAGAGAGAGATGAATCTGTCTGAATTTCTAGACTGATGTTAATCATAGTGAGCCTGATTTTTCCACCTCAGGCCTTGTGCCCAAGAGTCTAAGAAAATGAGATTCTTCCCTGCAGGGAGCAGACAGTGGAATTCAAAAGTAGCTAGAACAGGAAGTTTTTAATCACTTTTTAAACGATTCGTGTAATTACAGGCTATGCTTTCTCTTAAGTGATCATTTCCTAAAGCTTATGGAAATGAGGTTCAAGCCCAGATTCAAATTCTGAATCAGCCAACAACAATAAATATCATACACAAAGAAATGTGTCTGGTTTTAAGTATCATTTTGATTGCTTTCTTGGGTCATCACCCCTGCTTGAAATCATCCATTTGGAGCTGGTTGTTGCTGAAGTTACATGTTCTTAGGAGTATAAAAAAAAAAAAAGAAAAAGAAATAGGAGGACTTGGTGGTTTTCTGGGAATATTTACAATCTATTTGATTGAGGAGTGACAAGAAAATTTTAGTAAGTACTAACAACTCGTGATTAAAACATCCATTAATGGCACAAAGAACAGAGCAGCTGAGGAAGAAGGAGAATGCAGGAAAAGTATGTACAATATTTGAAAAAAGTGCTAAAGTTAAGGTTGGCCTTGTTTTAAGGCAAAGAAGCGGGAAAGATATACAATGTATGCACTTACTTAGTAAGTGCTAATATATCCAATTTCAAGTAGGCAGTAGTGGATAAAATGAACAATTCTGATCAGTATTTGGGCAGTGGATGGTGTGGTGGTTAATCTTCATCACGAACCTGATGGATTTAGAGTAACTTAGGAGACACACTTCTGAGGATGTCTCTCAAGACACAATTTAAGGTGGAAGATGGGGCTGAGGGGAACAAGGTCTTACCCTGTAGAAACAGCCTTAGATAGTGATGTCTTAGGAGTGTCAGTCCAACATGCCACCTTGGTTTTCAGTTCCTTATTCTAAAAGTGGAAAGCAAAAGGCAGAGGGATCAGACAGCAAACCTGCATATTGCCTACATCTTCAATGCCTCATCTCTATTCCCCATCTGCCTCACACCAACTGAGTAAGTTTGCTGTGCTTATTTTATTAGAATCAAGGAAAACAATATTAAATCCACCCTGAAAAGTACACAATGCATCAAGGGGCTAAAATATACCCTGCAATTCATCTTTCCAAACTATTTGAGTTTATAGAGATTTCTTTACATGGGCAAATGAAAATAATCCTAGAGATACACATGATGCTGATTACATAATTATCTTTTTGATGCAACCACTTGATTATAAACTCTGTAAAAATAGGTTCAGTCTCTCCTTAATAGTTCATGGTGTCTTCATCTTCAAGTTTCTCCTTGAAAGTTGATATTCTTTATATCTATACTCCTGATAAAGATATCAGTCTTACCTCTATTATATAAGCACTATAATAAAAAAAAAACATATGATCACATCTTCAATCTATTTGATAGGTATTATTATATAATTACATAACTCTAGGAGACAATACAACACCTGACAGCAGGTAAGAGAAGATGTTACCAGGTATAATTTCCAGTAGTGTCAGTCACCATCTGTGCAGTGTCATTTGGCTTACTTAGCTTCTGCATGTCTAATTTTGTCATCTTTATAGCAGATACCCCACAGGAGCACTTTCTTTCCAGGTTTGAAATGACATAAAGGTATAGAAATTACTCATTCAGACAGTCTCCATTACAGGTGTTAAGTGTTATAGACAACTAGTTGTTATAATAGTCTACTTAGCATTTTCATCACGAAAAGATAACATTCTGCTATGCCATCCAGCTTTCAGGGTGGATTTGACTATCTCTTGTCTATATTCTAAGAGAATGACTGCAGCAAACTTACTCCTAGCGAGACTGAAAGGTGCCGGTATAATCGTTTCACATATCTGGAACATGGAACTTTAAAAAGTGAAAGATCAGCACCCATGTTGAGTTGCCACTTGGCTGCAATGACAGGTCAGATGTCATTAAACTCAAGATTTTTCTAATCATACACATCTACAGAATTGAGCCCTACCCAGGGAGATAATTCCTTTCTAAGATGTCATATGCTACCAAACAAAAAAAAAAAAATCCATTGCCAGGTATGGGTTACATCTTTTCCAGCTGTTGGTCACTAGTATACCGCAGACCTCCCCCTCCAAAAAATTGCAGCCATTGGTATTGCTCCTGGTAACTCTCCAGAACTTGGTGGTAAGATCCTATTCCTGAAGACACCATATACCCAAGTTGTAGAACATGGAGAAACCTAGAAATGATGACCTGGAAGCTTCATTCTTACTGTTTACTTTTCATGTGCTGGAAGGTGTTCTGTACTCCACTGAGGAAGAAAGCAAGTCAAGAGTTTTCCTTAGTTATGAACCTTGGAGGCTATAATAACAACTGTCTTGATAAGATATGCTCATTGGTGTAATAGTGGCATGAATGTTACGGGAGCAACCAGCCAGCTTCTGAATGGATTTAAAGTCCACTCCACAAGATGAAACTCATGCCTAATACTGTTAACTGGGGCAAGAACCCATGGATCACTAGGTCATAGGTCCCAAAGGAAAATGTCCTACTATTACTCTGCTAAATGAGCATAGTATTAAACTTCTCCCTATTTGATATTACATCCATAGATTAGTACATCTCTCCATCATCACCAAAGAAGCTTGTTTTTGCAATAGATAGTGATTAACAGACTCATACCTAGTCAAAGTGCAGACAATAAGAGACTGTGGAGTGCTCAGCCCTAAATGGGGCATCTAACTCACACCTCTTTCCCCCATGGCTCAGAGATAATCACAGAAAGGGATGAAGAAAAATTCTAAGAGCCAGAGACAGTGGAGGACTGATATGTTTTCTAGACACAACAAGGACATTGTACATATAAACTCACAGTGGCTCTGACTGTATGCATAATACCTTCATAAGATCAAGCCAATCAAAATACCAACATGGATTCAAATCCATGGAGGGGCCCATGAAGTCCTACCTCCAGCTGAGGAGCTATTGACTACTAGTGACTGATGGGAGAGGGATGCTGACAGTTTTCTTTAGGGATGTGACCCTGTTATATCTTGTTTATGCTCCCATGACTGATCCTACAGCCATGCTCATACTGAGAGCACTAAGTGGCCTCAGTGTGTTTAAAAAAGAGCACAGGAAGTTGGTAGAGAAAAGTGGGAGGGGGTATTGAAAGAGTTAGAAGAGGGAGAGTGGATTTAAACAGAACATATGATGTGCCTGTATGAAAGGTCCAAAGGATTTTAAAGTGTCTGGGACTTACACAGAACTAGGTGAAATAATGATAGCAGAGGCTGTTCTTTTCAAATCATATGATTAAGTTTAAAGAATTTCTGAGATGGTACATATTGGTTCAGAAATGCCACTGATTTAGAGAAATCCAACACCAAAATGTAAAGTTTTGAGAAACAGACATTAGATTTTTGATAGAAATCTATCAAAAAGAAATCTATCAGTAAGAAAATTAATGAATGCCCAGCATCTAAGACTTTTATCAGGCATTTTATATGTATTACTTTTCTTCATTTGACTGACTCAGCTCTAGACAACATGAGAATTAGGTATTAAAAGATTCTGCATAATAGAGAACAGATTATATATAATTAATACACATATTATTTATTAACAGAATAAAACTAAATAAACTCAAATTGGCAAAGTAGCTGCTTTGGGTAAACAATAGGTAGTGCATGCAGCCTTCATATCCAGCTCTGGTATGTGGGCAGGCTGTTTGACTCCTCGGCCCTTTTTCTTTTCCCGGCAAGGTATTATTTTTCTGCGTGACCACAAGATTTAGCTCAGCCTCCTTATTTTGAAAGTGAATAACCAGTGATTGCAAGAGATACAGACACTTAGGGGTGTCTAAAAGGAGTTCAAGTATGGTAAAAAGTGTAACTAGAAAAAAAATCAACGGTCGACTGAACTAACCATTGAGTCTCATTACCGCACACTCCCCGCCCCCCCAGTAATCCACTACCTGTCACATATACAACACTCAACCAATAGCAGGAGCATATGAAGAAGCCAAAGGAAGCATTGAAAACTTCTCTTATAATGTGTAGAAAATAAACATGCATTTTTTAAGTAAATATGCATTTTAAGTAAAACAGGGGAAATTGCATGGCTGTGGTTCCTACCATGTAAGCCTGGGGTCATCAACATCACCTGGGAACTTGTGGGCTCTATAAAGCCTTCATCCCCAAGGCCACCTGGAATCAGCACCCATATGCCTGCTGATGAATATGATAAAACTCAGCAGGTCCTTTAAGTGTTGGTCAACATTGAGAAGTAGTAGACTAAGAGTGAATCACTGTCTCCGGCGTTCATTCGAACTATGAGGAGAGCTTTAAGAAGGAAAATATGGCCAGAATCACTAGACACTATTTCACTGTAATCTCAAGAGTTAAGCATATACATCTCATCCAGAAGATATATTTCCGATATGAGAGACTAATAATAAAACAGTGTCTTCCTATTATGAGACAAATATAACGTATGCACACAATGAGTGTAGGCTCATACCTTAGGCCAAGATTGTGACTGAGGAAAGTCCCCATGTTCAGTACTTCGTACACCAAAGTAGTTGGCAACTCAGTGTCACACCGCCATTGGCTGAGTGTGGTTGGAATGTGAATGGTCCCTATAGGCTACATTTGAATGTTTGGTTCCCAGTTGGTGGACTATTTAGGAAGGAGAGAAGGTGTGGCCTTTTGGGAAGAGGTGTGTCACTGAGGGTGGACACTGAGGTTTCAAAAGCCCATGCCTGGCCCAATCTCACTCTCTGCCTTCTGCCCACAGATCAGGATGTAAGCTCTCAGCTACTACTGCGCCATGCGAGCCTTCCTGCCTGACACCACATTCCTCACCCCTATGATGAGCATGGAGTCACCCTGTAAACAAGACCCCCAGTTAGATGCTTTCTTTAAAGCTGGGCATGGTGTCTCTTCACAGGAGAACAGTAACCAAGACCCCCGGGCAACTTTAAACAGATTTCTTACCTTCTCTAAATTTCCTTTCATTGCTTTTAAGATATAATAAGCAAATAAATAAATGAAAACTTTCCTCTGGAGTAACTTGGATGAGTAAAGAGAGTGAGGTGCTTAGGACGACTAAAGAAGATAAGAATTGTCTCTAGTATAGCTGATAAGAGGATACTGTTGGGGTTGGGGATTTAACTCAGTGGTAGAGCGCTTGCTAGGCAAGTGCACAGCCCTGGGTTTGGTCCTCAGCTCAAAAAAAAAAAAAAAAAAAAAAAA